GGGGGGGGGGGGGCTGAAACGCATTATGGTCATCTCTAACAAATAAATACTAATGGTTAACCCTCCCTGCCCCTCATTTTTGGATTTTGAAATCATTTTTTTTTGAAATTTTACTATCATAATTTGTTAATTGAGATACACCTTATAATCTTCAGTTTTGCCGTAAGTTTATTAAGAATTCGCACAAACTTTTATGTTACTTTTTGTATTAAATTAATCGGTCGATATTTATTAACTGAAAAAATTAGATTGCCAAGATGATTACTGTCCAATTAAATGATAGTTCTAGAACACTAGCACTATACTTTTAACATTGTTCAATTGCAGCAGTCTCTATGTCAAAAAGTTTTCAGCTTATGTTTGTGAGAACAAGGCTGTTTTTGTTATTTTTTGATCTCATAAATCTTTATATAGAGATAAGCAATTTCATACATAAATTCTAACGTTCGTGCATTTCCATAGAAATTATGCACGTTTTGTAGTTTTCTTGTTCATAAAAGTTTGAAGATGAAAAATGATTTGTTTATTTTTTAACTTTGTTGGTGATTTGTTGACGTATTAAAGTAACCCTCTTTTTAACAGAATGCTCGATTCACCCCGGTACCCATAGAAACTTTGTTTAAACATGAGTGCATGTTAAAGATTAATTGATTATATTAAGTGACTTAGGAGATTTCTGCTTCAGTAATTATAGAAAAGAATTTAAACATTTAAAGCTAGAAATACAACGATATCTTCCACATAATTGATCCAGTCCCTTTAAAATCAAAAGGTAATTTCCTAGAGAGCGATTTTTGGACCCCAGCCCCCCTCCCCCCCCTCCTATAATTTTTGTACATGGATCTTACAGAAAGTGTCTCAACTTAACCTAACCCATGGCCGCAGCGCTCGGCCCCCTAGCCCATCCTAAATGCAGCGCTCGGCCCAGAAAGTGTCTTAACCTAACCTAACCCTAAATAATGCTAAATAAATACTAATTTGGTCATGTACAAAATTGATAGGAGGGGGGGGGGGGGTCCAAAAATCGTTCTATCGGACAGACCCAATCAAAATTGAGAATTTGAAACTGTTAAAACTAGCTGTTAAGCTGTTATACTGTTAAAACCAACTGTTTAACTGTTAATACCAACTGTTAAAATAAACTGTTAAAACCAACTGTTAAGCTGTTATACTGTTAAAATCAACTGTTAAAGTCAACTGTTAAACTGAAGATTAGTTTAAGTTTTCAACATTAACCTAATTTAACTAATTAAACATTTTAATTCACTTGCTAGATATTTCAAACTGACATTGCTTTCCTGTTCAGATTCACTTGAATTGGATTTTCTTTTCACTTGAATATTTGATTTTGTCCTTTCTTTTAAGATTCACAACAAAAATATTGTTGAGCAAGACTGATAAAGAAATCCTTGTTTTTTACGGTGCAAAGACAAAGAAGGAAGTAAAATGATTATATATCATTGCAATTGGGATAACTTTAAATTATGTGAACATTCTCTTTAAATGGAGAGGAAATTGCTAAATTATTTTTTGAACTCTGTCTTTAAGGTAAATTTTTAATTTCCTTGCAAATATAGTTATTTTAAGAATTGCATAAACTTCATTATTCATCAGTGATCCATTTTTTTGCACCAGTAAAATAAGACAAATTTTAAGAATTCTTTTATAAAAAATTCAGTCAGTAAACGTGCAAAATTGATGTAATCGATTTTTGTTCTTTAAAATTACTTGCAGAAATTCGCTGAATTTTTCTGCTAATTTGGATATTTTTTAATAACTTCAAATATTCAATCATTTCAACATGTTCCATTATGTTTTCAATGTGAAAATTTGAATTTAACAGTCTAATAAGAAAAAATTAAGTTAAGGGAATGGTAACGGATTTTAGCAATAATAAAATAACCTTAATATCAGCTGATTATGGGCCACGCAGACTGAACAAATATTTGTTCACGTTATCTCTGTTAAAGGAAATATTTATGAAAGAAATATAACTATCTGATGTTTCTGTAAATATATTTATATTTTTAGGGAGGATCCCTACTGGAGATGCCCCTGTCTCGAACTAGGAGTTTACTATCTACCAGTTCTGATACTGCTTACCTCCCAACTATACAGGCAGGAGGAGATGCTATTTAAATAAAAATAAAGCAGTCTGTAAACTTTTATGAAATCTTATGATTTCAATTTTAGAAAAAAAATTTACAGAAAGGAACTGTCTTTTTATACTTCTTTCCTATTCCAACCCTGCTTTAAAGAGTTTATTTTAATTTTTATATTTTTATATAGTAAATTCATAATTTTCATGGCACTCTCTCGTTTTCAGGATTCTCATCTGCCGCCGTTAAAATCTAAACTGTTCTCGGGTTCAAGCATAATCCTGGATAATAGTGACGCCATGTCGGTCAACGGCAGCATCGTTAGTAACGGCAGTTCAACGAACATCTCGTCAAACGGTCTCAATTCCAATTTGTCGAACGGACACTCTAACGGAGTTCATATTAACGGTATGTCTACGTTACCGTTGATGAGACCAACGACAAGTGAAAGTACGAGAACCTCAGGGATAGAAAGCCCAAAGACAGACTCACCACAGCTTAACGGTATTAAGGATATATGCATGAAATAATTAGCCCCCCCCCCCCCCACCTAATCCTAAATTATATGCAATATTTTTTTTCTTTCAAACCGGTCAAATTTCCTATAAAATGTTTATTCGGACCTCATTTTGTTAATCTACACTTAAGCTCCATTTGTTTATGAACATTTGGACGCCATTTTGTATTTAATCACTCCATGCACACGTATACTGTACAGGCTCGACAACCTCATTGAAACCGAAGACGATGGTGGCATCACCCGACCAGGCAAACCTTGACAAAAATCATTTTACTGTTATGGTGCAAATTCTTATATCAAATAATGAAGCTTTGATTAAAATATCGTATTTTTGCTATCAGAACTTTTCATCTTCCTTCGGCTGCCATATTGGAAAAAGCTTTCATCGCAATATTTTCTCGCATTTCTAAAGTACTTATTTTCTCATTTTCATTTAATTATTAAATTTTTATTTAAAATAAACCTTTTTTTGAAATTTAACTATACTTTCGTTCATTGAGAGCCAGCAAACATTATGTTATTACTTTTTTTAAGTTGCGTATGTTTTTTTACTGTGCCTGTAGTACATGTTTAAGTTTGTATGTACAGGTGATGAAGCTGTACATGAACAAGTTGACACCCTACGAACATCACGAGATCTTTAACTATCCTCAAATATACTTTATCGGCGCTAACGCCAAAAAACGGCCGGGGATAATCGGCGGACCAAACAATTGTGGATACGACGACGATCAGGTAATTTTTGCCTCATTTTCCAATTTTCTTAGCAATTTAAATTTTTTGCGGTTTTTTTTTCGAGGATTTTCAAATTTCATTGTTCAAACAAGACAAGATAAAGGTTGTATTAAGCCTTTAGTGGAAATAATTAGGATAAAAAATATTATTGGCATTGGAAAGTTGTTTGTGGGTGCACAGTGAAGCTCAATTTTGCTAGATGGTACCAAGTAGATGTGCATAAAAACCGGTTTATTTGTAAAACTGCAACCTGCAAATATCATTGTTGATTTTTCTCGTCATTCAGAGCTGGTTAAACATAATATATCAAATACTTTTTCAAATATAAGACTTTAAGAATTTATGCCATTTAAATTGAAAATAAAAAAGGGTGATGTCCTTATAAAAGGAAGGGGGGGGAGTTAAAAAAGGGTGATGTCCTTATAAAAGGAAGGGGGGGGAGTTAAAAAAGGGTGATGTCCTTATAAAAGGAAGGGGGGGAAGAGTTAAAAAAGGGATGTCCTTAAAAAAAAGGAGGGGGGGGGAAGTTGTCTATTTGCTGTTACCCTTTTCTCAAATTAACATTTTATTGTTAAGTTTAACCTTAAGTTAAAGTATTAAAGGTCTTCCTCACCAGAACAGATTTATTTTCAAGATGTTGATTACATTCGATGAAAAGATCGCTTAAAAAAAATTCTGGAAATTTTTTTCTTTGGAAACCATTTTCTCCTTAAGAATTGATTAAGGTGGATAAAAGTAAATAGAAGTTAGCAAGATAATATAATTAGTTTTCTTAGAAAAATAAGATTTTCTCACTTAAAGGGACGTAATTTTAAGGTACCCTTCATTTGTAGAGTGGCATGTCGGATTTACAACGGTACCCTCATAAGCTTTCTCTGACAAGATTGAATGAGACTTGCAGATTTCTGGCTACAAAAACAATGAAAGAAATTATAAGAATCAAACGCTTTTCGCCAAAGAAAAAATTTCAATGAGATAAAGGATTAAAATACGATGTTGTAAAATTGGCCTGACAACCTTTAAATAGAAAGCCACTTGAAATTGCATAAACACTCCTTTAAAATTGCATAAACACTCCCTTAAAATTGCATAAACACTCCCTTAAAATTGCATAAACAAGGAGGATGGGCGTGTTGGTGTATAAAACATTTGAAAGGGGAGGACTGAGGAGAAACTAATTATTTGTTAGAAAATAAATATGGAAAATTGTCAGAATTTCACTAATTATTATTACTTTTTGTTGTTGTTGTACTCAATCATTTTTTTATTTTTGTCGGAGTTGTCTTAACACTGTCTGGTGTGTGTGTGTGTCTGTCAGGTTTTGACGAATATAATGCTATGATATACAGTTTGGTAGCTCTGAATATGGTAAATGTCAATATTCTGCACTGTGACACCCTGTATATTTGAGAATTAGGACACTCTGTAGTCTGTATATTGGATAAGTAGTTTTAAAGGGAGACTTTGTGTTTTTTATTGTAATAAAAACAGGCAAACCCTATGATGTATTATATTTATCCAATATAACGGGTGTCCCTGTTTTATTGATAACCATATGATACAGGGACACCCTGTATAGTGTATATTGAATATAGCATGATTCAGCTACTTCTGAATTGACAAAACTTTGTAGTTTCTCAACTATTCATTAGTCTACACAACCACCCCCCCCCCGTGGCCCTCCCCTTCACCTTTTAAGGTCCCCTTCAACCCTTTGAGGTTCCCTTCAACCCCTTGAGTTCCCCTTCAACCCCTTGAGTTCCCCTTCAACCCCTTGAGTTCCCCTTCAACCCCTTGAGGTCCCCTTCAACCCCTTGAGGTCCCCTTCAACCCTTTGAAATCTTTTTGTACATGGTTTGGTGGGGTTAGTACATTGTTTGGTTTTGTTCTGTACATGGTTTGGGTTGTTTCTTTACATGGTTTTGTTTATTCTGTCCATAGTATGATTTGTTTATGTACAAGGTTCGTAGTTTCTGTACATAATTTTGTTTGATACTGTACACGGTTCGGTGTTGTACATGTTTTGTTTATTCTGTACATGGTTTGGTTTGGTTCTGTACAGTGTACAGAACAGGTTTTGTAAATAGTTTGATTTATTGTTGTACACTATAAAGTTAAGTCTAGTTAAGTTCATGATTAGGTTCTGTACGTAGTTTGGGTTAGTTCTTTAACGTGTACAGTGTACAGTGTATAGTTAAGTTCATGATTAGGTTCTGTACGTAGTTTGGGTTAGTTTGTACAGTGTACAGTGTATAGTTAAGTTCATGATTAGGTTCTGAGGAACTTTGCACTTGTTCTGTTGGGAAATTTACCCCACTATCCTTCAGGCTATTTCAATTCTAATAATTGTGTTACAAAAAATAACAATTTCTTGGCGAAAGTAGAAAATTATCCGAATCATCTATCTATCTATCTATCTGTCTATTTCTATCTATATATCTATCTGTCTATTTTCTATCTATCTATCTGTCTATGAATGAGCTTGGTAAGTGAATGGTATATGAATGTATGCTATTATGCAAGAATTGCCTGAATTTGCCTCAAGTCGGACCAATTGATTTGTTCTTTATAAATACGTGAGAACCAGGGGAACCAGTCTAAAATTCATATTCTTAAATAAGTAAACAAAAGATTGAAGGGTGGCCGGGGGGCCGGGGGTCAGGAGAGGGGGAAGTGAAAGTGGAGATTTCAAAATAAAATGAAAGGATAGAAAATGAAAGTGTAAAAAAATGAAAAAACAGAGAAAAAAATTAAAGGAAATTAAGAAAAAATTTGACAACTAAAAAACAACAAAAAAAGGAAAGTGTGAAAAAGCTCATGAAAATTTTAATTGAATTAAAAAAAATTAAAAAGATGGGAAAAGGGAATTGTGGAAAATGAAAGGGAAAAATAGAAAAAATGTCTATCCAAGAAAAATTATAAAAACTGGGATTGATTGAAAGGGTAGACGAACTTAAAAATAGGGCAAAAGAAAAAGAATTATTAAAATTTATAAAATTAAGATTGAATCAAGGAAGGATTGAGGGGTTTTTGATTTAAATGAAGGGGGGG